ACAGTCATAACTCAATAACTGTACATTCATAACTCCATAATTGTACATTCATAATTTTCGAAGCTCTATGTTCACAATTTTAGAGCTCTATATTCATAATTTTATCATTATATGTTCATAATGTCAGAGCTCTTTGTTCATAATTCGATCAATAACTGTACATTCATAATTTCATAACTGTAGATTCATAATCTCATAACTGTAGATTCATAACTCCATAACTGTAGATTCATAACTCTATAACTGTACATTCATAACTCCATGTTCATAATTCGATCAATAACTGTACATTCATAATTTCATAACTGTAGATTCATAATCTCATAACTGTAGATTCATAACTCCATAACTGTAGATTCATAACTCTATAACTGTAGATTCATAACTCTATAACTGTACATTCATAACTCCATAACTGTACATTCATAATCTTCAAAGCTCTATATTCACAATTTTAAAGCTCCATGGTCATAATTTTATCACTATATGACTATATGTTCATAATTGTAAGTTCATAATGTTAGAACTCTGTGTTCATAATTTCATAATTACATAACTGTACATTCATAACGGCATAACTGTACATTCATAATAAAAAAAAAAAAAAAAAAAAAAAAAAAACGCCGTTAACGGCAAAACGCGCGCGAACTTATTTATTTTAACTAAATGACACATTTTTTATGAAAAATGACGTCGTTTTAGGCCCGTGTCCACAATTTATTGTGGGCATAATTTGCCGAGAGAAAGAGACAGACGTCATAGTGAACAATATTGGGCTTTTTTTACTAGTAATGGGCTTAATTTAATAATACGGGCCTTTAATCAAATGGTCGTCCTGACAAGTGACAACCCATTCTAGGCCCCAAAATAAAGCCCAACAAAACTTTGAGAATGTAATATTACATTACAATTCACTAACCTTTGGACTTGAGAGAATATAATTGTATTGTATTGTATATATGTTAAGTAAATTAGTTCCCAGTCCTTTACATCTCTAACCTTCCAAGGTTTGTTAATTGTAATGGCAAATTATGCTGTGTATCCGTATGCATCATGCATGGTGCATACGAATGCAAAAACGACGTCGTTTTAATAAAACGCACGTCTCCCTTTAAAAAAAAAAAAATCAGGTTCGATTCTCAGCAACAACATATGAACTAAAATTCCATAATCGATGGACTATAATTCCATAATCGATGAACTATAATTCCATAATCTAATCTATGAACTAAAAATTCCAGAATGAATGAACTAAAGTTCCATAATCTATAAACTAAAATTTCAGAATCGATGAACTACAATTCCATAATCGATGAACTATAATTCCATAATCAATGAACTATAATTCCATAATCTATGAACTAAAATTCCAGAATGAATGAACAATATAATGTTGTTGCTGGGAATTGAACCTGAATTTTTTTTAAAGGGGAGACGCGCGTTTTTTAATAAAACGACGTCGTTTTGGCATCCGTATGCACCATGCATGGTGCATACGGATGCACAGCATAACGATTGAATTGTAATTGGCAACTCTAATCTAGTTTATAGGGGTTATAGTGCATTTAATAAAGGATCAATTATTTTGAGAAAATGAAAATGTTCCTAGTTATTTAGGGTGTGTTTGGTTCGCACGTGAGAATCAGATTCGAAATGAGAATCAAATATTTGGTAATGGTAATGAGTTTTGGTGAAAGTATTTTGCATGTTTGACAGTATGTTGGAATTTGAATGATTATCAATATTGATGTTTGGTTGTGTATGACCACGTATGATGGGAATAAAGGTTTTAAAAGTACAAAAACAAAAAAATAAGACAATTGATCCTAATATAATAACATCCAAAGCATCAATATGAATAAAAAAAAATTAAAACAAAACTCTAAAAGTACTAATCCGTACTTAACAATTAGATTACCAATAAAATAGAATGATACCCATTTTTAATTAGGAAATGATATTTTTAATTGAAGGGGTAATAATTCTCATAGTTGTGTTTTAAAAAATTGTTAACCAAACACTAATTATAATTTTAATTTTCATTCCTAATATGTAAACCCATGAACCAAACACACCCTAATTTAATTAGTAATATAGTCATAATCATAACATTGGACTATGGCTAAAGTATGCTATGGGTCAATAAGTCAATTTGCCCAGTGCAGACGATTACTAATGCTATTTGACTTGACTAATTCAATCAATCAACATATTTGACTAGTTAAAACAATTTAATTTCTACGAATCTTATTTAACAAAAGAAATTGTAAATGAATATATTATAGAGATTATATATGTTGGGATCCCTTGACTATTGTGATTTACTTATAAAAGTCTTTTGTTTAATTTTTTGTTCGATTTAATCTCCTAAAATCTTACCTTTATGAGTCCTCGGTTACATTTGTTGTTAACTCTCCGTCAAAGCCAGCAAAAGAAGGGGGAAGGATATACTTATCCTTTCGACTTCTTTCTCAACTTCCTATTTTCTAGGTCTTCCTAAGAAGAAGACCAATGCCTCACCGATGGCGAAGGCGGCTGACAATCTCTCCCTAAAGCCGCAGGTTTATACTCTGATCTCTCATCTCTTCTGGGTTCATTTTTTCTTTGATGGAGAGTTAACATAAAATGTAACAAATGATTCATTTAGGTCAGATTTTAGTAATTAGGAGATTAAATCGAGCTAAAAGTTAAACAGAAGACTTTTACAAATAAATCACATTAGTCAAAGAACCCTTGTTTGTATAATACATATTATTTTTTATTTTATTTTATTTTATTAAAATGATGAGTTAAAATTTCAAGTATTGTTATTTAAAAATTTTAACTTAACGTAAAAATGATCAATATGAATTATATTGGCTTATATGCTTGTGGTAAATAATAAGGATTGATTTATTTTTTAATTTTTAAGTTATTTGATATTTAAATGAATAAATTTCACTTTTAGTCATCAACTATTCTGATATTGGAAATGATGAGAAACGACATGAGGGATAATGTGAAATGGGTATAGTAGAGAGGAAGAATTGAAGTATATAGTAGTGGTGGTTTCCTTATCCGGACCCATGAAATCGACCCGACCATGAAGTCCGAATATAATTTTGTACTAAGCAGTCACTTCCAAGCTCCAAACGGGTCCCCACTCCAAGACTCATACCATCAAGCATTAAATTGTATCACACCAACTTGGTCAATATAATGGATTCCTCTTCTTAATTATTTTCACTTTCATACCCAATGGCCAATTCGATCAAGCTACCGCATATATCCTTTCAAACTATTGATACCCAATTATACTCTATGGTCCAGGCATCAAATATGCACTGCAGTTTCATTTCAACGCAACTACAATATCATTTTGATATAATTACAATTTCACTAGATAATATACACTCAAATATGAGAAATTGTTATTCAGTTTCATTTTGTATATACTACAGTTTCATTTGATAATATAATAAAAATAATATGTGAGACAGTGTTAGTTTAGATACACTATAGTATCTGTCGTTTTGGACCATGGTCCACAGTATAATTGCTGGGGGCTTTCTTTCTAGGCTTAATTCCATCTTTATACAACTTCAATCATTATTACGTGGACCGTGGTCCACAAAATTGTGTGAACCACGGTAGAAAAACACAAAGTACATTATTTTAACTCAAACTACATTATTTTAACATATAAAGTACATTATTCTAACTCATAAAATACATTATCTTATCCCATAAATTTCATTATTCTAACGCATAAAGTGCATTATACATTATTCTAACTCATAAAAAACATTATTCTAACACATAAAGTATAATATTTTAACCCATAAAATACATTATCCTACCCTAGAAATTTCATTAAACACATAAAAAGTATATTATTCTAACAAACAAAGTACAATGTTCATTATTGTAACATGCGAATAGAGTAAGGATTTTTTTTTAAAAAAAATATCAAAACGATGTCGTTTTGAACCGTAGTCCACACGGTCCACATAATAATTTGCTATACAACTTAAAAGAATGTAAATCAAGTAATGTAACAAAATTAAAAGAATATATCGGACTATGTCACAATGTTACATTAACGGGGACTAAACATGAAATTTGCTCATATGGATAGAAATTATTATAATAAATAACCATTATACATAAAAATAACTTAGTTTATAAAATTAGTGCTGGATTAATGGAAAACAAACGTGCGATTATAAAATGAATTCTACTGATTTTTAAATAAAAACGTAGACTAATTTAAGTTGGATGAAATCTTATTTTTATCAATTAATTAGTTTAAAAATTATACTCCGTATTAGTTAAAAATCAACAACAGCCGCAGCGCACGAAAATTTCCACTGCTTTCATTCGTCAACTTCAAAGAAAAAGAAAGAAAGAGAAAGATGACAATTTTTCCAACTTCAGGAAAAACCGATCTATCGAAGCATTGAATCGACCCCTAAACCATATGCTCAGATCACTCCTAATATAATATATTGGTGCTAGTAGGGACGGAGCCAGAAATTCGATTGAGGGAGTGAAGAAGTACGGACTGATTCAGAATTTTTTTTTAGTAAAGGCAAAAAATTAAAACAAAAGAGATAATTTAAAAATAAATAAATTACGTAAGAAATATAATTGTAAATATTATTGGATATGGGCAAAAAATACACATCGAAACTTTATAAAAATATTTATCTAATGAAACACAAAGAGTCACCAACACCTCTATTAAGATTCAATCTCATGACCTCCCACACAAGAGAGATCAGTACATACCATCCAAGTACAAGGTGTTTGACATGCTTTGCCAACTAATATAACTCATTTCTCATTGACATTTAATAATTCTTTTATATTAATATTAAAACATGTACTATATATACATACAAAGATTATATATGAGATGGAGGTGTGGTGGGATGAAGGGACAGGTACCCCTGCCCCCTTTGGCTCCCTCCCTGGGTGCTATCTATTGTTAGCATTATATAAATTCAGATACATCCTTATCACTAAAATATATAATATTCCATCTTGTAACACTGTACTTCTCATTATTATTATTATTTGTTTAATTGATATGGATAACCCTTGTATGTTTTGTTTATGGATATTATTCAGCTTTGTGCTACTTCATGGAAGTGGTGGGTGTGAGGAAGAAGAAAGAAGTGCACTTTTGAGGCTAAGAGATGCCCTCAACTATCCAAACAGAACCACCGCCCTTTCTTCCTGGGGTGATGATGAAGAAGAAATGAATTGCTGCAAATGGGAAAGTGTCAAGTGTGACCAATCCAATCACCATGTCACCCAACTCTCTCTCGAGTATATTAGGCCAGATTTCCCGGTTCCTGATCATTTCTTTCTAAATGCTTCGCTATTTCTCCCCTTTCGGGAACTGCAAAATCTGAGCTTACATTCTAACAGCATTCGAGGGTTCCATGGAGTACTAAATTTGAGCAAGTTGCAGGTTTTGGATCTAAGTATCAATTGGTTTGATGAAATTCCACGTTTAGGTTTGTTGCGCTCACTTAGGATCCTTAATATGGAAGTTAACTCCATCAATACTTGGTCTCACTTTGAAGGTGATCTGAATCGATTCAATTCATTTTCATTTTCATTTTCATGGTCGTCGTCTAACTTTCTTAAGTTTGCCTTTTGATTTGATGCATAATAACACTGCAATCTACCTATTTCTGTAGAGATAACAAGTTTGAAGGATTTGGAGTTGCTCAATTTGGCTTATAATTATCTGAGCGGAAAAATTCCTCACTCCCTTGGGTCCTTGACATCTTTAAAGTTTTTGTCATTCGAGCACAATCATCTAATAAATGGCTCCTTGACAGATGGAGGTACGTATTTCATTAATTTTAGTATGTTTTGGATCTCCTTTCTCATTGAATCCATTATATTCCAACTTTATTTGTCTAATTTCCATTTCCCAAATTCTAAAGTATATAAATTAAACAAGAAAATTTGTTATTGATTGGGCGGGTTAAATTTTATTGAAGTATTATCATTCTTAACTCTGCTGCAGGCTTCTGCAAGTTGAAGAAGCTTGAAGAGTTGGATTTAGAATTGAATAGGTTTCAAGGAAGAATACCTTTGTGTCTTGGCAATTTGACATCCCTTCGTGTCCTTATTCTTAAATCAAACAATTTGACCGGGCCACTTCCTTCTACTGTTTTTTCAACTCTGAGTTCACTCAAGCATCTCTCTCTTTCTTTCAACTACTTTGAAGGTTCTTTCTCGTTCAACTTGTTTGGGGAGAATTCCAAACTTGAGATTTTTGAACTTGACAACTTTAATAGTAACTTGATAGTGGACACTGAAAACCCACCTTGGATGCCTCAACCTCAGATCAAAATATTCCGGTTATCGAATTGCAAACTCAATCAGCATACTGGGAATCTCCTACCTAGTTTCCTGTTAAAGCAACGTGAGTTGAGAATCCTTAACCTTAGCCATACAGGGATGAGAGAAATATTCCCAACTTGGTTGCTCATCAACAACTCAAATATGGAATTTCTCAGCCTTGCAAGCAATTTCCTAACCGGTCCTTTTGATTGCAATCATCAAGCAAAGAATGAATATCTGGTCTGGTTAGATGTATCCATGAATCAAATCCAAGGGGTACTTCCACACTCTATAGGTGTTTCATTTCCAAGTCTGACCCTTTTGAACATGTCTATGAATGCAATACAGGGTGGTATTCCTCCCTCTATGGGAGAATTGACACAACTGTATCAACTTGACTTGTCAAACAACAATTTGTCAGGAGAACTGCCAGAAGAATTCGTCCAGGGATGTATCAAATTGGAAATTTTGACGTTAGCAAACAACAATTTGCAAGGCCAAGTTCTTCCTACAAATTCAAACCTGAGTAGCCTTCAGTATCTACGTCTGGAGAACAACCACTTTTCGGGTGAGCTCTCTCGTGGCTTGCTAAATAGCATGTCTTTGAGATTGTTAGATTTGAGCAACAACTCAATCACAGGCAAGATTCCTGACTGGATTGGATACCTTCCACAACTCAAGTCAATAGTTTTGTCTAACAATTTCCTACAAGGTCCTATACCAATGAGCTTTTGCAAGGTGAAGGAATTGGGGTTTTTAGACTTGTCTAGAAATAAACTTACTCAGACTATACCTGCCTGTTTGGATGTCTCGTCACTGAGATACTTGCATTTGCATGGCAATGAACTTATTGGATCTGTGCCAAAAGTTCTGTCCGGAGCTTCTTCACTTGTGACACTAGACATGAGAGACAATAACTTATCTGGCAGAGTTCCTAGTTGGATAAGTTCACTCTCAAGTTTAAGGTTTATTCTTCTAGGAGGAAATCAACTTGAAGGTTCAATCCCTTCCCAATTCTGTGACCTTAGGAATATTAGCATGCTGGATATTTCATCAAATAATCTTTCATCCTTTTTGCCTTCTTGCTTGCATAAAGTACTAGCTGGGAGCAAAAGAGCCCTTGATGCCACACTTGGGCCTCATGTATACCAACAGATTTATTATATTCCTTTAAGTACATACTCGTATGAAACCCGGCTTCAAATAGACCTATACTTGGCGTCCATTTACAGAGCTTCAGATGAGGAAGAAGAAGTGGAATTTGTAACAAAAAGTAGGTCTGAATCATACAAAGGAAATATATTGAACTACATGTCTGGGATTGATCTTTCCTTCAACAACTTAATTGGTTCAATTCCTCAAGAGATCGGGTACTTGAGTAATATTCACACTTTGAACTTATCACACAACCACTTCACAGGCTCTATCCCGACTACATTCTCCAACTTAAAGCAGATAGAATGTTTGGACTTGTCTCACAATAGATTGAATGGCCAAATACCTCAAGAATTGATAGAATTGAACTTTCTATCAATATTTTATGTGGCATTCAACAATCTATCCGGTAGAATACCAGACAAGAAGCAGTTCTTAACATTCGAAAACATCAGTTATGAAGGTAACCCTTTACTTTGTGGACAATTGTTGGGGAAAAGCTGCACCAGCTATAACATTGAGCCATCTTCAGAGTCAATTATAGAGGAGACTGACCCGTTCAAAGATACATTTGTGTGGAGTTTTATAGCATCATACATTGTGGCATTTATAGCTTCCGTTATTGGTTTCCTATGCTGTAGTAACCATTTAGAACGACTGCTTAGGTATGTTCAAGCAAAATGTAATTGTAGTTTTCTATTTCCAGTTTGCGTGTAAATTAAATAACAGTTTATGTAATGTGGTAATATAGTGTATGAATAAGGCTCTGTTTCCTTCTCTTGTGAACCCGTATCACAGAATATGCAATTCTAAGTTTATTTATTTTGTCCTTCTCCATCTTAGAACTGCCATGCTAAGTACGAATAGTGAAATACACATCAGATTTCTAAGTCAAATTTTGTTTTGCAAGTCCTAGAAATTTTGTTTTATTTCAATTCTTTTATCAGTGAATTTAGTATAACTGCTTTAAAATTTTCTTGTCCAAATTTTTTAAATTCCTTCCGTGGTATCGTTTCTTTTATCTTACAATTTTTTTGGAAATTACTCATAAAATTTAAAACTCTATACCACAAATTTAACTTTAATCTAACAGAAGTCTTACACTAAATACCGCTACATAAATAGTATTGGCTAAACGAGGCCTCAAAGGCAACGGCCCGAGATGGTATATAGGCACTCTTCTTTGAAAGTTGTGTTGTGCGTGTACATATGTTAATTTTTCTAAGAATTAGTACAGTTCCACCCTTTAGCCACTCAACAATAATTGTAATTTCTTTCGATCATATTGGGTGCTTAAGTTTCAATTTGGCCATGTGTAGTTTGCAACGATTAGTGGTAAACCCAATAGGAAAATGATAAATATATCATTATTGTATAAGTACATAGATTTAGTGGACTGAACAGGAAATGTTTTATTATATCACATACACTGTTATTAACTTACATTAGAAAGAGAAACTATAAATTTTGCACGAACATACTCAAGTAGCCGTTCTGAATAGTCAGTACAACATAGGAAAACAACAACAGAAGCTATAAATGCTACACTATATGATGCTATAAAACTCCACAAAAATGTCTCTTTGAATGGATCATCATTATTCTGTATAATTGTCTCTGAAGATGGTTCTGTGCTAGAGCTGCTGCAACTTTTCCCCAACAATTGTCCACAAAGTAAAGGGTTACCTTCATAACTGATGTTTTCAAATGTTAAGAACTGCCTCTTGTCGGGTATTCTACCTGATAAATTGTTGAATGCCACAGAAAATATTGTCAGAAAGTTCAATTCTATCAAGTCTTGAGGTATTTGGCCATTCAATCTATTGTGAGACAAGTCTAAACATTCTATCTGCTTTAAGTTGGAGAATGTAGTTGGGATAGAGCTTGTGAAGTGATTGTTTGATAAGTTCAAAGTGTGGATATCACTCAGGTACCCGATCTCTTGAGGAATTGGACCAGTAAAATTATTGAAGGAAAGATCCATTCCAGACATGTAGTTCAGTATGTTTCCTTTGTATGATTCAGACCTGCTTTTTGTTATAAATTCCACTTCTTCTTCCTCATCTGAAGCCGTATAATCGGATTCCAAGTATATGTCTATTTGAATTTGGCTTTCGTACAAGTATGTTCTCAGACCCCAAGTTCTGGTCCATCCGTAGACCCTAGGCTCAAGCATGGGATTAAAGGTTGTTTTGCTCCCAAACAGTAATTTATGCAGGCAAGAAGGCAAAACCGAAGAAAGATGATTTGAGGAAAGATCTAGCATGCTAACATTCCTAAGGTCACAGAGTTGGGAAGGGATAGAACCTTGGAATTGATTCCCACCAAGGAGAAGAAACCTTAAATTTGAGAGTGAACTTATCCAAGTAGGAAGTGTGCCAGATAAGTTATTGTCTCTCATATCGAGTGTCACAAGTGAGGAAGCTTCCGACAAAAGTTTTGGCAGAAATCCAGTAAATTCATTGCCATGCAAATGCAAGTATCTCAGTGATGAGACATCCAAACAAGCAGGTATGGTCTCAGTAAGTTTATTTTTTGACAAATCTAAAAAGCTCAGTTCCTTCATCTTGCAAAAACTCATTGGTATAGGACCTCGTAGAAAATTATTAGACAAAATTATTGAGCTGAGTCCTGAAAGGTTTCCAATCCAGTCAGGAATTTCGCCTGTGATTGAGTTGTTGCTCAAATCTAACAATTCCAACCACATGCTATTTAATAGGCCACGAGAGAGCTCACCCGAAAAGCGGTTGTTTTCCAAACGCAAATACAGAAGGCTACTCAGGTTTGAATTTGTAGGAAGAACTTGACCTTGCAAATTGTTGTTTTCTAACTTCAAAAATTGCAACTTGATACATCCCTGGACAAATTCTTTTGGCAGTTCTCCTGACAAATTATTGTTTGACAAGTCTAACAATTGTAGTTGTTTCAATTCCCCCATAGACGGAGGAATACCACCTTGTATTGCATTCATAGACATGTTCAAGAGGGTCAGATTTGGGAAAGAAACACCAATAGAATATGGAAGTACCCCCTGAATTTGATTCATAGAAACATCTAACCAACTGAGATATCCATTCTTTGATTGAATATGGTTGTTGTATGTGAAAGGTCCGGTTAGGAAATTGCCTGCAAGGCTGAGAAATTCCAAATTTGAGTTATTGATAAGCAACCAGGTTGGAAATATTTCTCTCACCCCTGTATGTCTAAGGTCAAGGACTCTCAACTCACGTTGCTTTAACAGGAAACTAGGTAGATTCTTGTCAGGCTCATTGAGTTTACAGTTGGTTAATCGAAATACTTTGATCTGAGGTTGCGGCATCCAATGTGGGTTTTCCGTATCTATTGTCATGCTACTAATAAGGTTGTCAAGTTCAAAGATCTCAAGTTTGGAATTGTTCCCAAATGAGTTGAACGAGAAAGAACCTTCAAAATAGTTTAAAGATAGGGAGAGATATGCGAGTGAAGTTAGAGTAGAAAAGACATCAGAAGGAAGTGGTCCGGTCAAGTGATTTTGTTTAAGAACAAGGGTACGGAGGGATGTCAAATTGCCAAAACATAAAGGGATTCTTCCTTCAAAAGCATTTACACTCAAATCCAACTCTTCAAGCTTCCTCAACTTGCACAAGCCTACAGAGTTACAAGTTAATTAGAGCTAATAAGAAACTACTGAAATAGAATTTTAACCCCTAGCCTTCAACAACAACAACAAAACAAAACAAAAAAACTTGGGCAACGGAATGAAGTACTATTCAAGTTGGGATGCAGAAAGGAAACCCACAACTAACACAGATACATACTAAGATTAATGAATTACCTCCATCTTTCAAGGAGCCACTTATTAGCCAATTGTTCTGGAATGACAAAAACTTTAAAGAGGCTAAGGATCCAAGGGATTGTGGAATTTTTCCGCTCAGATCATTAAAAGCAAAATTGAGCAGCTCCAGATGTTTCAGGGTTGTTAGCTCTACAAAAATATATATGTGGATTATTGTGTTATTATGCAACAAAATACAAAATTAAGAAAGCTAGCTAGACAGAGCGTACTATCCATGAATTGAAAATGAATTATAATAATATTTGACGCACCTTCAAAGTGAGACCAAGTATTGATGTCGTTTTGTTTCATATTAAGGATCCTAAGTGAGCGCAGTAAACCTAAACTTGGAATTTCATCAAACCAATTGGAGCTTAAATCCAAAACCTGCAACTTGCTTAAGTTTAGTACCTCATGGAATCCTCGTATTGTGTTTAAACGTAAGCTCAGATTCTGTAGTTCTCGGAATGGAAGAAATAGCGAAGCATTTAGGAAAAAATCATCAGAACTCGAAAGCCAAATATCGGCAAGGGAGAGTTGGATGACATGGTGATTGGATTGGTCACAGTTGACTCTTTCCCACATGCAGCAATCCGTTTCTTTTCCATCACCCCAAGAAGAAAGGGCAGTGGTTCCGTTAAAGGCATCTCTTAGTCTCAAAAGTGCTATTCTTTCTTCTTCATCACACCCCTGCACCTCAATAACTACCACACAGCTTAACAATAATATCCACAAACAAAACACACAACGATTCTCCATACTAATAATATTAATAACTAGAATATTATTACAAGACCGGATATTATATTGGTACTTAAGGATGTATATGTAAATATATATATATATATATATATATATATATATATATATGCTAACAATAACACCAAAAGTTGGCATGTTTCTCTTTCTTTGAATTTTCTTTGATGTTGACAAATGAAAGTAGCGGAAATTCATTCCAATAGTTTAAATCACTTTGTAAGCTGATAGATTCAACTTTGAAATTATTGTTTTACTTTACTAGTGAGCTAGAGTGGTACTTCTAAGCTTGCTAGCTATTTTATTTACGAAGCAGTGGCGGGATATTAATTGGACTCTTCTGTGTGTGCATCAAATTTAAATTAGTCTAACATTAAAAAAAAAAAAGAAAAAAAAAGAGTGAAAATTCAATTATTTAAAGTCCTAATTGAAATCACATTCAATATTCCGAAACGAATATTTCTTAGTTATAAATTATAAGCAGTAAGATTTAATCACTTACCACGTACTACTTTAAAATCTATAATATAAGCAGTAAGAATTAAGCCCTTAACATTTTGCTCATTAAATTGGGCTAGTTTGGTGCAAATTGAGATTAGTTTGAGTACATTACGAGCTTAAAAATATCTCCTATAACTAAGAACTACTCTGGACACTCTGTGATCTAACCAAAAAATCTATACTTACATTACTATAGAAATGATATACTACGTCACTTAATAGACGACGTTTTTTAAATAACAGTCATCTAATATATTTTGTTATACTTACGTCACCTTAAACGGCAGTTATTATTCAGAACCGCCTTATAAAGTATATATGTAATGTGTAAATTTGCTATATACGGCAGTTATTATTCGGAACCACCTTATAAGGTATGTCGTTTTTTAAAATCATTTATACGGTATGTATGTTTATGATTATACGGCGGTTTTTAACCACCATATATAGATAACATACACATCGATTAAGTATTTATTTACCACGTTAGTCACTTATTCAACACTTCAAATTAAAAACTACCGTGTATGTGTAAAAAAAACCATCGTAGTAGCTATGTTTTGTAGTAGTGAGCTAGTAGCAAATACATAACTTTATTTTCTTATACTTGTGTATTAGTTACCAATTATTAGGATACCACCATGACACAAATTATATATAGCTAATATAGAATGTACAAATTTATTTTGTTTATACTTACATAACAATCAACGTCACGTTTGAATTGATTTAGTATGAGTGTTACTTATGTAAATTTTCTTTTGTTAAATAAGACTTCTAAAATATAATTAAGCGGAACTAGTCAAATATGTCGTCGATTGACTTAGTCAAGTCTAATAACATTAATGATCTTCAACGACGGACAAATTAATATGTTGACCCTCACTCCACACCATAGTTTAGTCCAACGTTATGATTGTGACTCTTGTTGATCTAGTTCAATATTTACATGGTTTAGTGTTATTATTAGATAACTTTTTTGTATAAAATAATGAAATTTACCATATATTTTTTTATGAGAATTAATTCTATTCTTTATCCTAAATTTATAAGTGCCAGTTCATTTTTAATATTTGTTTTAAGATAAAAGTCAAATAGACTCTCCAACTATATCTCAAAGTGTAATTAGCCCCTCGAACTAACAAAAAAAATAAAAAATCTTCAATTAAATCCTAAATTAACTTGTTAAAATAGTGCAAATGTGCAATTAACTTATTTGACTTATAATAGCATGTTACTTTCAAGTCACCTGCCACATATGATTCCACGTAGCCCGCATGGGCAGCTCAAAGTGTCATAGGGGTAAAATTTGAGAAGAATGACCAGCGATCGAATCTCGCCAGCGGCAGTGTGGGAGCAACTAACCTTTCAAAGTGAGGGGGCTCGGTGTGCGTAGTAAAGCAAAGGTCTAGTCTCTGTGCTTTAGCTGAGTTACCATGGTTTACAAGTCAGCCTCTCAAAGGTCTAGTCTCTGTGCTTTAGCTGAGTTACCATGGTTTACAGGTCAGCCTCTCAAAGAAGTGAGGGAGTTAAGCAAAGGTCTAGTCTCTGTGCTTTAGCTGATTTACCATGATTTACAGGTCAGGGAAAACGCGATATATTGGTCGGAAATGACATTTCCATCCAACATACCGACCAAAAGGAACGTTCAAAAAAAAAACCTCCGTTGGAAATTCCGTCCAACTACGATTTTTGGTCGTAAATAGCAACCAACAAACAAAAATTGGACGGAAATTCCGGCGAGTAACCCACCATTTTTAAAACGTGGGAATTTCCGTCCAACCACGTGCATTGGGCGGAAATTCCGTCCAACTACGTGCATTGGTCGGAAATTCCGACCAATGTTGGACGGAAAACTCATATTATATTTTGTAATTTTCCTTCCAATTGTTGGTAGGAAAATCTTAAATCATATGGAATGTTTTTATTATTTTTATATTACCATAATTTTATTTATACCTCTTGTAAATAAATTATATGTCATCAACAAATTAATGGACACACTAAATTTCAAATTGAAAATATATTTAAACATCAAAATTCTTTACAACAAAAATTATAGTCATGTTTGATGGGGTGTGAACCCCATGGGCTCGGGGCCCAAGAAGAAAGTAGATAAATCCCAAGAAGAAGAGAAGCCCAAGAAGAAAATGGAGCAAACCCAAAAGGGATACGGGTCAAACCGAGGAGTCGGCGGCGAGTGTGGAATCGACACAGGTAGAGGGTCGGCCTAAAACTAGCCGTTAGCCCCTATTAAATTCCTAATTATCTACCCTTAAGATCCTATTTACTACCCCACCATTCCTAACCTCCCACTTATTACCCCACTTATTACCACTAGTCAAATATCTAATTATTATTATTATTATCCATAACCCCCCACTTAAACCCTTACTTACTACCCTAATTATCACCCATCACTACCCTACTAAATGTCCAACGGACACTTTTGGGATGGGCCAGCTATAAAAAGGAAGGGAAGACAAGAAGAAAAGGGGGCATCCACTCATTCATCTATATGTGGGAGGACTCTCCCAAGTACTATTCTCCCACTCACTATTCTTTCTTCTCTAACGAAACACATCATTCATTCATATGTACAAGCACTCTTCCTACACCACTCTCCCAAGAGAAGGCAATTCACATACACAACAAGAAGATTATCAAGAAGACTCCATTTTACCACAAAGAAGCATACTCCATCTCTATATACAAAATAGCCATACAACATGTACAAAGACACCTACAAAATACATAGTGGAATTAGGCTTGGCACCGCCCAAAAAGACCCGTGGTTTTCACCTTTCGGTTTCCACGTAAAAATCATCGAGTCATATTTCTTCTATTTTAGTAGCCTTATTATGAAAGGTGAATCCACCAACCACAGGTTGTGTTGGACCTCCTTGGGCCCGAAAACCCAAAAACCAACAATGTTCTTAAAAAAAAAAAAGTCATGAAAATATATACTACTTAAGTATGTTGCACCCAAATAAGCCTTCAAATCCAACACTACTTCATTAAAAAAAAATCATGAAAATGATGCTACTAACTTTAAAATCCTTCTTTTTTTCTTGGTAATAGACATTGGCGGAGCCACAATGGCACCCCCCCCCCCCCTCAACTCTTTCTACTAATATATAAGTACACAGATAAGTTATTAAAGTGTTTAGTAGATCAGTGGGTTGAATCTTAAACATGGAATGGAGTGTTTGAGGTTCAAAACTCACCCATAGCATTTTTATATGTTTTAACTTGTCTTTATTTTAGCTCTTCCTACCTTTCAACAAATTAAATGTATTTTTTAAATTCTATTTTTTTTCATGTATATTTTAGCTTCTTTTCTTTATTTTAACTCTTCTCACCATTCAATAAATTAAATATTTTTGTAAGTCTGCTTTTTTGTAAATCATTTACTTAATATAGTCAACAAGTTTATATTATACTACATCGTATTCAAATTAATTTAGAATAATTTAAAGTTAATCTAATTAAAAGAAAATTAAAATTAAAGTATTTATGAATATAATGTCTTTTCTATTCAAAGAAAATTATCTTGTAGTCTATCATAAATATTGTATTATAATTTATAATGTATTTGAATCATATTATAGATGTTTGGTATTTTGCCATTGACAATTCTAAAGTCGTGGTGAATTCTTCAAACAAAATTGTGAAAGATGCAATTTTTTCTTAGGAATGAGATCTCAAGTTAAGTACGCCCCCACTCACATTATTTTCTGGATCCGCCACTAGTAATAGAACCACAAATCTTGTAGATTTTTATAAATAGACTTATACACTAAACTTAGGTTTGTCACAATTCTCAATACTATTGTTCTCATTTAAAAGTTGGAAAATTCAAAATTGTCATGTTTCTCTTTCTTTGATTTTTCTTTGAGGTTGACAAATGAAAGTAGTGGAAAGCCGGAAATTCATTCCAATAGTTCTCTTTCTTTGATTTTTCTTTGAGGTTGACAAATGAAAGTAGCGGAAATTCATTATATTCCAATAGTTTAAAACTGTTTGTATGCTGATTCCAACTTTAAATTGATTTACTTTACCAGTGAGAGTGGTACTTCTAACTTCTAAGCTTGCTAGCTATTTTATTTACAATCCGTGGCTGGATATTTGACTCTTCTATGTGTGCATCAAATTTAAATTAGTCTAACGTTTAAAAAATTGAGTGAAAATTCAATTAATTAAAATCCTAACTGGAATCAAATTCGATACCAAAACAAATATTTCTTAGGGTGTGTTTGGTTCGCACATAGGAATCGAAATCGAATGAGTATCAAATATTTGGTAATAGTAATGGGTTTTGGTGAAAGTATTTAGCATGTTTGGTAGTAGGGTGGAATAAGAATAGTTACTAATAGTAGTGTTTGAAAAAGAATAAGGGGATGAAACCCTTATTTAATTTGGGTATAGATTTTTCAATTAATAGGGTATTTGACTTATAATAGTGTTCTAAAACCTATCAACCAAACAATAACAATAACTTTCATGCTCATTCCTGTGAGCAAAACCCATCAACCAAACACACACACTTAGTTTCAGTTTTGGTTTGTT